TTTCTCTTGGGCCTAGCATAAATTACTGTTTTCTGCATTGACAAGACTGGTACAAAGACTTGTATGTACGTAGCGGGGAATGTGGTGTGACTAAGAGTAAGGAGACTACCGCAATTCTCCCCCCAATAATGACAAACAACGAATATTGGATGTAACAGGCCACAGCATTTATTAAACTTACAACTGTAGGACTCATCCGAACTTTATTCTTTTTCTTTAATTCAAATATAAATAAACAGATAAATATATATACATACCATAATTAACATATAAATTAACATATAAATTACACTTATTGCCCTACAGCCTCCAACTTAAATAACTGTCCTTGCCAACGAACTTAACCAGGTGCCTATGCACCAAAACTTTACCCACTGGTGTCTCGCCTCCCCCCTCGTCCAAACCAAAAATTCCCATCATCTTAAATGCTCTACCACCAGCCGGCTTTTTGCTCGGTGGGCACGTCCTATTCGGTAACTTAAAAGTTTACCTTACAGAGCAGGGAAGGTTGAGACCCACCATGTCCATCTCCTGACATTCCATCTGCTCCCCAACCCTGTTGGCAAGGACACGCTCCCCGCCACAAACCCCGCTGTTTTAAACCTAAAATCAGCGGGGAGCCCCACCAAAACCAACCAGGCCTGTTCCACCACTTTCTGCATGGCAAGACGAAAAAGGTCTAGCCGGACCTTCATCACCCAGAAACACAGTAGCTGCCACATGCGCGACAACACCCTGTGGCAAACCAAAATCCCCTTACCTTCAAACACCTTGAAAGGCCCTCCAATTTTGCTTCACACGGCAGCGTACCATGCACTGATTATGGGCCCGCTGCCAAAAGATACGGGAAATGACCTCCGACCAATCAGGGTTATTTATTGATTCTTTTTTTTTTTATTTTTTTTTTTTATCGTTTTATTTTTATTACATTAGGGACTGGTGGGACGGCTGAACCTGCTCCGGGAGGAGCTGAACACATTTCATACCTCCAGCACCAAACCAACGAACCTCCGCTTCAGAAGGCACACAACCCAAAAGCTCACCTCCCAGACGGACACCCGCATCTCACCTGGGAGTATAACCAGGAAAAGGACATCCAGATATTATCTGTTTTCCAAGTGCACCCTGGGAATTGTTACTTGTACCCAAGGAACTGGTACTCATTTATCTACCTCAAAGGAATGAATGGCTGAGCCACCGCCGCTGAGAATTGAACCCGAACCCCCCAAGGATTGAACAAATTCCACGAAACCAGCATTACTTCACCGAGACATCTCACCATACCCCCTCCCGGTTCTTTGCACCACGTGCGCTGACATACCCATTCTAAAAGCCTCCAAGGCAGCGCTAAACCAAAAGGAATGACACAAGATTCTTTGCTGACAGTCCCCAGAACCATCAGACTTGAGCGAAAGACCCAAAAATTGGGAATGGGAAAGAAAAAATAAAAATAAATCACATCTGCATAACCTCAAAAGAGGGCCTGTGCATACTGGGCGCAGCTCACAGTTCTCTACAAAGGAAAAGTGCAACAGCCGAACCGCCATACCCATCCCGAAACAAAATTTGACCTGGATTGTCAAATACTTATAGTGATATGATCTGCAGGGCGCCGACTGGTGGCAAACAATACCCCACCACCGCATGGCCTACTAGGAATCACCAAAACCCCAACATGCACGGCCCCCAGGAGCATAGCGTCCAGGTGGCCGTGGAAACCGATCCACGGACCCATTCCGTCATTCTGCCAGACTGTCCGCCGGGCAAGGCGTCCCCTCCAGATCTGCCTGCGAGGCGATTGCCCCTTAAGCAAGCGAGGGAAGGAGGCTGTCAGCCGAGTAATGGCTTGAACAACCCCCAAATTGTCGCAGTGAAACACTACCCTTAGATCCTGAAACGTTACTGCCAGACCTCCCCCTCCACCAATATGGGGAAACGCTCCAAAAAGCCCAGATTCTTTGTGAGCCCAGAGACATGCCAACTGTCCGGCCACACGGGAGCACACCAATTAGAGCCCCGAATGGCCCCAAACCCCACCGCGCCAGCTGCGTCCGTAAATAGGTGGAGGTCGGCGTTAGAAACCTCCGGCCTTTGCCAGCAGGACCGGCCATGATATGCAGCTAAGAAGGACCAAAATCTCCCACAGCAGCCGAGTGAGCCGAATGAAATAGCGAGGCTCGGAGACCACGGCTGTCGCCGTAGCCAGACGCTGGTTAAAGACCCGGCCCACGGGCATGATCCGACAGGCAAAATTCATCTCACCCAGGAGTGACTGCAGGCAGCGCAGCTGAATATCGCACCGCCCCATGGCCAAGGCCCCCTCGCGCCACCAGCCTTGAATCTTATTCAAAGGCCAGCGGCAGTCCCACGCCAAAGAGTCAATCTCAATGCCCAGAAAGCTGAGAAAGTGACCGGGGCCACCGTCTTGCCGTGTGCCACTGGGATCCCAAACTAATGGAACACCTCACCCAGAACCCGTCGCAGCAGCGAACAGGCTGTCGAATCGGCAAGACCCACACAAATGAAATGATCGAGGTAGTGTAGCAAGGAGACTATACCAGCCTCCTCCCTCACCACCCAGTCCAAGAACGTGCTGAAGCATGCAAAGTAACAACAGGATATGGAACTACCCATAGGGAGGCACATATCCACGTAATACATGCCTACAAAAAACACAGCCCAGAAGATGGTGACATCCCGGGTGCACTGGCAGTAGACGGAAGGCCGAATCCACATCAGCCCTGGCCCAACAAGGCCCCAGGGCCCTGATCTTATCAACCACCACATCAAAGGATGCATAAGATACCCGTCAGAGTTCCCAAGAGATGTCGTCATTCACCAAACCCCCCCCCGGGGGTATGATAAATGGTGAATCAGACGGTATTTGTCCAAAACCCATGCTCAACCCATCCAGTAGGATGCCAGCCACCCGACGATTCCTATAAACTGGAGATCCAAGGGTGCATCGCGCTCATGACCACTGGCGCCATCGCCCTCTGACCCCAAATCCCCAAGTGGAACATTCGTGCTGGAAACAGCAAGATGCCCCCCATTTGCAGTGACTGTCGTTGAATTTCAACAACAGCCCGGCCTCCGATGCGCACCCAGTGAGGAGGAGGACCCCCCCACCACCCACCTGAGAAAGGACGAGAACGCACCCTGCTGGGGGGCCATGCAGCTCACAGTGGAGAGCCAGAGGCCAATGTCAATCTATTCCAATGAAACTGAGGGGCGCACCGCCAACTGTTGACAGAACTGCTCGTCATATTTCCACCATCACAGACTGCCATAGGTACGACAAGCATTCCAAATGGTATCCTGGTAGCAGAACAATGCGGAGCACTTCTGCGGATCCCTTTCCCCAGTTACACTGGTCAGGATTGCACACTTTCACTAATTATTATTTTATAAATAAACATTTTTCACCTAGGCTCCCTACCTGGAGAGCTGGTGTGGATGATTGATTTGCTTTTTAATGGTAAAGCATCATGGGAATTGCTGTTTAACAACCTCTATGGATCTACATTGTAGGCACCCCTGATCTAATTAGATTACTGCAGTAGTATGAAATGCAATGTTCCATGGGGCTACGAAGCATGCTCAGGTATGCTTTGGGATCTGCTTTGAAAATGGAGTCAGATGTCATGTAAACTATGACTTGCCCTCGAACACTCTCATGACTCCTTTGGCATTAAATTAATTTATATCATGCACTCGGGCTGTGTCAGGACAAGAATGAATATAACAAATATATAAATATTATATATATTTTTTATATGTATTCCAAAAAATAGCAGGAACCATAGGAAATTTTTAAAGCAAAAAATGTCAGTTCCCTCCTAAATATTAGTTAACATGATTTTCTTAAATTGCTTACATACATTTTGCACAATATTTAATGATTTTCTAATCACCTGAGACAATTTTAAGTCCTGAAACAGGTTGCAGGATTGTACATCGCTGTTGGCATCTTTTTTGCATTGCGTTCTTCCAATTTGCACTTCCAGAAAATAATTTATTCCTTCAACAACCTAAAGCAAAATATTAAAATGGAAAAATGAAATGAAATGCTGAGAACAGGTCTTTAACCTGGGGCTGCTGGGCGGGGTGTGGAAGTGGTGTGATCAGAGGCGGCGAGGGAGCTCTAATATAACAGCTCGGCTCCCTTGCGAGCTGCCTACTGATGCTGGGAGCCGAAATATGACGTCACATTCCAGCTCCCGCGGCATCAGCAAACGGCGCGCGAGGGAGCAGAGCGGGGAGATTAGAGCTCCCTCGCCGCCTCTGATCACACCACTGCCGCACACCGGACCGGCAGGACCGGCCATGATATGCAGCTAAGAAGGACTCCCAAAATCTCCCGCAGCAGCCGAGTGAGCCGAATGAAATGGCGAGGCTCGGAGACACCGGACCGGCAGGACCGGCCATGATATGCAGCTAAGGTGGCCTGGCAGGAGGGAGAGCTTCCCTCCTGCCGGTCACTGAAATCTTGCGCCCCCAGAGCCGGTGTGCCCTAAGGCGGCCGTCTGTGCCGCCTGATGGACGCGCCGGCCCTGGATATACCCCCAAATTGAGTGCCTTTCATGACTGCTGTCTGTGTATCTTTGTGACTCTGTAACTATGTCTGTGTCTTTTCTTCATGTATGCATTTTTGCCTATTTATCAATGTCTGTACGGCTTAGGAGGAAAGAGGCACATAAAGCAACTAGCGGGGAGGGACACACGATCTTTGCCTGTGTAGCCAAAAATCCTTACACTGACCCTAGTTGGGGGCTGGCAAAAGCCTGGTATGCTTGACCCCCTCAATGCCCCACCCATCTCATCCTAATCCGATAGGAGTGTTGGAATGTCCATTTAAACACAAGGAATTATTATAAACCACCTTTTAATTTATAGCTTGTGTTTCTAGCACACATATAAGCCATACACTACTTTTGTGTTTTAAAATATAACTACAACATTTACTTGAATACTCCAAATAGATCATTTAAATAAGACACTCAGAATTTTGCTTGATAAAGTTTATTCAATGGAAATTGCTTCTGATCTGCAAGATCAGTGGGTGTTTTTGTAAAACCTGTGCTCACTGTGCTGTACAGGAGTAACTGGTAAGTGTTTCCTTGTTTAACCATGGAATGTCCCAGACTTGGAATCTGCAAACAGATACCTGCAAAATAACAAAACAACAATAAAACAAAGCAAATCTGTTACCTTTTGGAAGTCATTGAAAACACACACACACACAAAAAAGATGCAAATACTATAATTTTATATATTAAAATAAATCAAAACAAAATACTGGTAGACAATTTAAATAACCTTCATAGTAATAAAATGTGAATAACAACGTTATTCAATAATAATGTTGGATTAATAAATAATAGATCTAATTCAGGGGTGCCCAAAAAGTAGATCCCCAGATGTGGTAAAACTACAACTCCCATAATACTTGTGTTCCTTTAGAATGCTTTTTAATGGCAACGCATCATGGGAATTGCTGTTTAACAACCTCTATGGATATACATTGTAGGCACCCCTGATCTAATTAGATTACTGCAGTAGTATGAAATGCAATGTTCCATGGGGCTACGAAGCATGCTCAGGTATGCTTTGGGATCTGCTTTGAAAATGGAGTCAGATGTCATGTAAACTATGACTTGCCCTCGAACACTCTCATGACTCCTTTGGCATTAAATTAATTTATATCATGCACTCGGGCTGTGTCAGGACAAGAATGAATATAACAAATATATAAATATTATATATATTTTTTATATGTATTCCAAAAAATAGCAGGAACCATAGGAAATTTTTAAAGCAAAAAATGTCAGTTCCCTCCTAAATATTAGTTAACATGATTTTCTTAAATTGCTTACATACATTTTGCACAATATTTAATGATTTTCTAATCACCTGAGACAATTTTGAGTCCTGAAACAGGTTGCAGGATTGTACATCGCTGTTGGCATCTTTTTTGCATTGCGTTCTTCCAATTTGCACTTCCAGAAAATAATTTATTCCTTCAACAACCTAAAGCAAAATATTAAAATGGAAAAATGACATGAAATGCTGAGAACAGTGTTAAAAATATTTCCTAACCAACTGCAGCAATTAAACAGGGGCTATTCTCTGAACAGTGATTTGAGGGATTTTAGTGCTGAATTTGCTCAATTTAGGCCTATATAACTGAACAGAAAAAAACAAAACCAAAAAAAAACCAAACATCTATTTTCCCATTTTAAATTTTTTTTAAATTCTTAATATTTGAAAAGACATCTGAATTCAGCAGACACATCGCATACACTATATGTACTCACAGATATCTTCATTTTTGATGAAACAAAGTTGAGAGATAACTCAGAAAAAGAGAAGTAAAACAACACTTTTCTTGCAAAGAAAGTGGCAGAAAAAAAAAAATATGTATAAATCCATTACCGAGAAAAATGAGGTTAGGGAGCATATGAAGCCACACATGGAAAAATGCTGGCAAACAAAATAAATTGTTATAAAATATATCAGAAGCAAGCTTAAAACTCCATGATACTATGCTCTCTCTTTTCTGACTGCCATGTGCAAAGACGGTTTATTTTTATAACAATGATTGACAAGGAGCTTAAAGGTAGAGGATCAGCACAGTTTTCTATATTTATTTTTCAGACCTCTCACACATACATTTAACTATAAGTGAAAGTTTGAGAAAGCTTCTCTCAGTGTGGGAGCGTTCTTTCCCCACCCCTTCCAGTCCAAGTACGCAAGGTAGAGGATACAGGAGTTCATCTATAACAGTCCGTGAGGCCACAATACAAAAGGGGAAAAGAGGGGGGTTAAAAGACACAAGGGGGAGTTAAAGGACAAGAGGGGGCAAGACACAAAAAAGGCAATAGTAGAGATGAGGACACAGAGGGTAAAAGACCAAAAAATAGAGATGTTAAAGGGGATACAATACACAAAAGGGGTTAATATATACAAAGGGGGTAAGATGTACATGAGGCGGAATAAGCGACACAAAGTTAAAAGGGAGGTTGAGAGACATGCATAGGAATGAGAGGGGATTAGGATAGAAACACAAACAGGATTAAAATATACACATGCGTGGAAAAGGGTGCTGAGCAACACACACACAAATACATTCTGGAGGAATTTCCAACATACATTTTAGCTTTTAAAATTTTAATTTTACAGTCTAGTATATGATCCCCATTCCCATTTCATTGAATTATCCCATATATTTTCCTACCTGGGATTGAGCAGATATAACCTTTATAAGTTTGCAGAGGTAGTCATCCTTTGATTTTTTGTTGAACTCATTGATGGCAAAGTTGGCGGCTTTCAGAACATCAGGTCGCTCAGGACTGATATTAATTGAACCGCCAGGCATGGGGACATCTGAACATGAAATAACAGAGAAAAGCGACAGCACAATGAGACCAATAGACAAACTTGTAGCCATGGTTCTAGTTATGGTATCAGAATGGAGCAAAGTAAAGCGGGACAGATTCAATTATTGTCCGGTTTTTATACACAATACATAGAACACGACTGTTGAATCAACATTTAATATTTGATAATTGATTAGATAAACTAATTAAACAACTATCAGACGCACAAAACACATTTAATATTTAACAGAATAAAACGAACAATTGGCTGTTTCTAAATTATGTTTCTTTTGCCAAAATGTTATAATGTTAATGTTGAATATCATACCATTTAGTCAAAGATTAGAAAGTAAGCTCCTGGTTCCCGGAACATGAAGATTTACACAAAGACGACACACAATAGAAACAATAATTTTCCTTACAAAGACAAGAAATTTTATCAAAGTTTCAACACTTGCAGAATTGAACTCTTATCTACCTTTATTACAAATTACATATTTGTATATCATTAAAGTAAAAGCAAATATTGACAGGTATTGTTTGCTTGAGGTTTCATTGCCTTTTTGTAATAATGAAAAATACATGAGAATTAACTTAAAGAAAGTAGCTGGTTTTCAACAACTCTAAACTCCCGAGTCCCATAAATGTGTAGCTGTTTCAATAAATCCCTGTTTTCTGTGGCAGAATGTACAACACCTGTACAGCAATTTGAACTTACATGATTCTAAACCAAACTGAAATGTCCAACACATTTAAAGGGACACTAAAGTCACCATAACAACTACAGCTTAATGTAGTTGTTCTGGTAAGTATAGTTAGTCCATACAGGTTTTTTTTACTGTAAACACTGTCTTTTCAGACCACCAGTGGCCACTCCTCAAAAGGCTATTAGAGGTTCTTCCTAGGGCAGTGCTGCCGTTCAGCATCTCAACGATCTGCATGGAGATGCTGAACTTTCCCCATTGATTCAGTGTATCTCAATGAGGAGATGCTCATTGGCTAGACCGGTGTTTGGTCCCACCCCCGCCATGCCACTTTGACGGTCTTTTCTATAGGAAAGCATTGGATTGGCTAAAATCATCAGTTCTGAAACTGCTATGTTTATAGAAGAAAGGGTTAATCCTAGAGGGACCTGGCACCCAGACCACTTCATTAAGCTGAAGTGGTTTGGGTGCCTACAGTGGTCCTTTAATCCAGGCACAGGGTCAGGAAGCAGAAAAAATGCACACAGAAACCAAAGCCACCTGGTGGATGTCATGGCAGAGAACCTGTCTGGGATGCTGGAGCTGTGAGTTCAAACCCAGCCAGGTCTCTTAAAGGGGTGGCCATGCATTGCAAGGCAGCTTCAACATGGATGCTGTCCAGGAGGTGGGATGGTCTGGGAGGGAGGGTCTACTGGAGATTGACAGGGATGTGTCAGCTGACTGGAGTCCGCCACAAATGGTTTGTGGAGAAACATTCGCGGACGGTTTGCGACATCTCTACTCACGGGCAGGGTCCTCAACTTGTTATATCAGTCTGTTCTTATTGTATTTGTCTTTTAACCAATTGTAGAGCCCTGTGGAATTTGTTGGGGCTTTTTAAATGCCAGTAATAAATAAATAAACATATACATGTTTGGTACATATACATACAGTACATGTTTGTGTTCCTTTAATTCTTTTAGTGCTGTAACGTACAACTATTGCTAAATCAGCAGGATAAACTATGTTGGGGGTAAGTATCAGTTCTCACAGTAAAGTGTGAAGTCTAGTCTTTAAGGCATTACAAGGACAAGCAAATTAATGCAAATACACACACAGGGCTGGTGTAATATCCATGTAGGGCTGGTGCAATCCCTATGTAGGGCTGGTGAAGAGAACCCAACACTGATGTAGTGGCAGTGGTCAATGAACCTGGAACAAGACAGAGGTTAAAGGGTTACACCAACCCCGTATAAGAAATATTTAACTTACATACTAAATGCCCTGTGGAGGATACCTGGTAGCTCCTCACCACATAAAAGTTTGCACAAAAAGATTTTAAGTTACAGTAATCCAGCACTGAGCGAAGTTCCCTATGCCCTATCTCACGTGGACCAATCACAGGCTTCTCCCACTTTTCGAACAGCAGGAGGCGGGAGGGAGCATCTACTTGAGGGAGGGATGAGCTTGCTTCCCCTGGCAGGTGCTCTGCCTGCAATTAAAAGATTTTTATGTTCATTGGCAGCATGCAGCGCGAGTTGACAACAGACGTAACATATGAGCTGTCCACTAGCCCACGGCAGACAACTGCCAATAATTCAGTATGTGCAGTGTTTCAAGCTGACACACTACACATACATACTACTACCACCATAAATCACTTTAAGCTCAGAGCTCGGTAAATAGCAGAGCCAGGTATAGTACGCCTCTGGTATTACCTAAATATTGTCCTGTTTATTAGTGATAAAATGATTAACCCTTGAAGAACTAATCCCGAAGTAGTGACATTATAAAACCACATGTTACTTTAGAATGTAATTCATCAAGGAGGGGAGGGAGTCAGAGTGGGAACTCTGACTCAAATCAGGCTGAGCCACTGGACCCCAGGGAAAGTCACCCTCCTGCACCTAAAAGGTAGGAAACAGGAGGGTGACTAAATCATTTTGTATTTGTGTGTGTTTGTATGTGTCTGTATATGTGTGTATTTGTATGTATGTGTGTGTGTTTTGTATGTGTCTGTATATGTGTGTGCTTGTATGTATGTGTGTGTGTTTGTATATGTGTGTTTGTATGTCTGTCTGTGTGTCTGTATGTATGTGTCTCTGTGTGTGTATGTGTGTTTGCATGTATGTGTCTGTATGAACATATGTATTTGTGTGTGTGTGTGTTTTTATGTATGTGTGTGTCTATATGTGTGTGTGTCTGTATGCGTGTGTCTCTGTATATGTGTGTGTGTGTTTATGTGTGTGTCTGCATGTGTATCTGTTTGTCTGCATGTGTAGGGCGGAACTTGGGAGGGGGAGGGTAGACGTATGGGAGGGTTGCGGGGGGTAGATTTATTGGGGGGGGGGACAAGGGCAATTTTTGCATCGGGCCACGTGGTTTCTAGTTAAGCCTCTTGCTGTGTACATTTGTAAAACTCTTGCCACTTAACACATTTCATGCCTATATATATTAAATTATGATAATTAAATTTGTTATCAGCAGCTGGGCTGAGCAGTTAAAAACACTCTTCTTCTTTGGGCTGCTGACTAAGGGGACTGTTTAAAAAAATGTTCACATTAACATTAGTTTTATGCACATGCAACATGTTCTTATGTATAAAACTGTTACTCAACCTTATAATTTTCCTTTCTTTTCTGTAATGTGTTAAAATCACCTGCACTCAAAAAAACAACACATTTTACAGCCCTATTTACTCCATCCTTATGTCCAGGAAAGCCTTGAATGAATGAAAAATTAAAAATACTAATTTGTGTTATTTCTTAAATATGTCATGTTAATCTAATTCTTATTATAAAGATGCTATTTTCCGGTATCATGTGATAACTTACTATGCTTAACCTTTGCTGATTTACAATAAAAACTTTGAATAATAAAAAATAAAATAAATAAATAAATAACGATAATGGAACAGGAAATAAGATGATGAATGAGACGCAGTAAGGAATATTTTGATGTGAGACGCAAATAGGAAAAGCATAAGAAAAAAATGGATAAAAAGTAAATTTTGTCACGCTTTGAGTACACTATCAGCAATAGCAAGTACATCCTTCCCCACCACGCACAGGTGGTATCATAGTGCTAAATCCTCTTCAAACTCCACAACTTCAGAACGCACCTAGTTGCAAAAGAGAACAAATTCAAAATCTCGCGAGGGAACATAACCCCCCCACCCCGGTATGCAATATTAACGGGGAGTAGATGGTCCTCACAGCTTCTATCACTACATTGAGACAAAGTGTTATCAATGCTGAGGAACCCTCTAACTCGTACGAGACAGAATAATTTTATGCATGTATGCAATATGATGTATTTTGCCACCCCTTGACTGTATTGTTATGTTCTTTAACCTTAATTCCTTTTCTTTATTCTGTAACCTCTTACCTTGACAAACAAAAATGGAAAAAAACTACATAAAAAAAGAATGTATTAAAAAAAAGTTAAATTTTGTACATGACCCATTTGTGCATCTCAAACTTTTTTTCTACTTGCATTTGTCATTTAATCAGTATTTAAGTAAAACAGATATGAACCTAACAGTCTTGAATGCATTCAATCGAAAAAGGTAACTTACTCCAGTGTTTTAATAAAAGTTAAGTTGGTTAAAGTGACTTTTCTTATCCTTGTCTCTCCCCCTATATACAATTAAGCTAAAACCTACCTACAGTCTGGCCAAGTTCTCTTAGCAGTCAACTCCTCCTTTGATAATGTCACTTCCCTATTCTGGCGAGGGCCGTGCCACCATTGGACTCCTGTCAGGGCTGTAATTACATGTCAGGTGCCTGTTGGCACAGAATTTCAAAAGGCCCCTTTGTTATTCCCCCCCACCCCCAACCCACCCCCAACTCACCCCCAAAATGTAAAAAAATAAATAAACAGCAGAAAAAGTAAATTTTATGCATTTATTAAAAGGACATTGCAGACATGTAAAAAAAAATCATATGTTGACAATTTAATGTGTATATATGTATGTGTATATTTCTGCTTGTTATGTACTGTGTTTTAATCTATGATTATAGTTAGCGCATACAGCTGTGTAAATGCATTAAAAAATACTTTCCTAATTATTTATCTACAGAAGTCACCAGTAAAGTCTATGGGAATTTTTGCAGATAAATTATCTGGAAAGTATTTCTATCTATATTAAATCATTCGGAAAGCTTATTACATCGAGGTCATAATTAGCCACTCACACATATCTAAATAGCCAGATGCAGACACACATACATAACTAGCCACGCAACCTTACTGCCGGACACCACAGTTTACAGTTCTGTTCACGTTTGGAATACAGCAGGTAACACGTGCTGCAATAAATTAGGTGCCTATATATTTTTTTTAATTTAACAACATTTCACAAGAAACCCATAAGCAGCCATCTCCAGTAATGCCCGACTCCCCATGAAAACTCCTGTCTGACCCTTGTAGGTTTGGCAACATGCCATCTCCTCTAAGCATCACCTGGGTTGTTTTCACTCTCAGGACCCTTTATGGGCTGGTGTTCTGCCACATATTACATTAAGGATAAGATTTGGAGTATCTGAACATGATCAATGTATTTCAAAAGACGGTTCAGTCCCTGTATACGGTTTAAAGGTCAAAATGTATGTTTACTGTTATATGGGTATTTCATTCCATTTTTTGAAGGCAGTTATAGCTCATAACTGATGCCATTAATGTTATCCCTTTCTTTTTACCAACATGCCAAGGGATATGTTTGAGAGACAGAGCGAGAAAGAGAGAGATTGAGTTCAACGTGAACTCAAACCAAAACTGACCGCAATAGACAACCTGGAAAAGAATTGAACTGTAGAATATTTGTCGAAAATGTAAAATGCACTTTGAATTTCAATTTGAATTCCTGACAATTCACACTTTAGTAAATAATAGAAAGTAGCTTGATCCTCATTTTCTTACAGAGCACGGCAATTTTAGAATAACCTCATGGACACAACTACATCTTCCTTTAAGAGATCTCTATCAGCATATCTAAATACAGAATGCACCTGTAATCATGGGTGGTTATATTTCTAACCTATTCTGTGTTAAAGTTATACATGCATATTTTTAATATTATTTTGTATTTCTAATATTCTATTGTACCCTATTGTAGCAATGCAATGTTTGTGTACCCAAAATAAAGAAATAAAGAAATCTCAATTTATTCTTCCTGGCAAAATATTTGATAAATAAATAAATAACCATGAGGGAGTTTATTCTGCCTAGAATCTTCTCCAGCATATAAATTAGGAGAGAAGGAGATAATTAAAGGGACATGCATCATTCAAAAAAATTTTGTAAACCAGAAAGCAAACACTTTTAGACAAATATGCAAAACAAAATAAACAAAATAAAGCAAAAAAAAAAAAAAAATCTTGGTAAGGCGGTAATAAATGTTTATAAACTTAATATAAACATTGTTAGTTTGCATTGTTGGGTGCGCCTGTCAGCTAGGGGAGTTTCGTCAGGATATCCCCCTTCCCTTTTACCCACCCATCTGCATTTTCCACTTATAGCTGAAACAGGGCAGTATTGTGCAACAACAGAAGAGAGAAACCCGACACCGGAGTCTGTTTTGCATAATCACACTGATCCATCAGAAATTTTGAGGCCCCTAACACTGCTCAAGGTCTGGGCCCCCGGGGGCCCACCTCCAAGCCTGCCCCCAAATCCACTCTTTAAACCTGCCCACAGGAATACACAAACACAGACACAAACACACGAACTGATACAAAAAAGACACAAAGATACACACATACTGACACATACACATACATACTAACAGACATACACACATACTGAATCAGACACACAGACATATACAGACACATACTAACATACAAACACACACACACACACGCATAAGACATACATCCACACACATATACATTCTGACATACATACATACCGACAGACATACATACATACTGACATACATACAGACAGAAAGACATATACATACACATACTGACATACATATATACATACACATACATACAGATAGATAGATACATTCTGACATACATACTCAGAGGGCTTGGAGACATGGCTTGATGCTGCACTTCCATGCCCTCTGATTAGAGAACTGAAGGGTTTTGCAGGTTAAGAGAGTGGAGGCAGGTTTGCTGGGACTAAAGAAATCTCAACAAAATAAAATTATTAAAGAGCCTAAAAGGTGCCCCTAACATATGTGTGTGGGTGCATCTTTGTTTGTCTGATTTTGTTGATGAGATTGTTGAAAGTCTTTTATATAAGCCATTTAGTGATTTATTAAAAAAAAAAAAAAAAAAACCATTTTATACATACATACTAAGTTAAATAAGACACTCAGAAAAGAAATGATTGTTAAACATTTGTTAAATAAATTTGTTTCAGTGTGATATCAGTATGTGTTTCTGTGTAACTCCTGCTCACTGTGTTGTACAAGAGTAACTAACAAGTGTTTTCTTATGTAACCATGGATTGTCCCAGACTTGGAATTCCCAAACGGATATCTGCAATATATAAAATAAAAATAAAAAACATTAAAAAAAAACTCATAACTTTTGGAAGCCATTGACAACATTTTTCGAAAACAAGGCAAGCATAAAGCTATATTTTAAAAAAAGAAAAAAGAAAAAAATAAATAAAGTAAAAATATGTAAACAGTCTACATAGCATGTAGTAAAATGTGAATAACAACCTAAATAATAATAACTTCAATAATATTAATATATTGTTATAATAAAATGCTCTAAGCCATATCTTGTCCTTGAATTACGCCAGCTCTTTTAATTTTTCTCTTCCTTTTGGTGTTATATTACTATTTCTATGTGTGATAGAGGCAAGTCCGAAATACAGATAGGCTTTTTCACCAAAGTGAAAATTGTCAGGAATTCAAAGTGAATTTCAAACTTCAGACCAAAGTAGTTAAACTTGAAGCATAGCTGACCTCGATAATGTTTCCAGTTTAGCTATTGTGGCCTGATATTTCTAATTCTCTTTGAATTCCCAACAAATCCCACTCTAGCGAATGACCCTGACTGTGTTCATTGAGCCTCTGAGCTTACTGAGACACGTTCTCAAATTTGCTCTAAAAAATGACAAAGTTGGTAAATTCTGGTATTCCTTCTAAAGTGCACAGTGCTAGTATGCACCCTTGTGTTGTGTGCACACATCACACCTTTGAGGTTAAAAGTAATTGACACCATATACTCTGGCTAACGCCAGAAATGGAATAAAGAAAGATGAAAAAAAAAAAATAGTCCAACCCATAGGAAACTTTATCATTCTAAACAGAGCAAAACCATCCCACTGCATACAAGGCCATTTGGACATTGTTCACACTCTTTAGCAGGGCCGGACTTGGGAAAAAAATTCGGCCTGGGCATTTTTTTATTACAGCGGCCCCCCTGAGAAGGGGGCGGGCCAGAGAGGGTGTGTTTTGTCATGACTAATGATAAGCACGCCCCCTATCAAAGTGAGCATGTTGGTTCAATGTGCAGAGCCCCGCTGAAGAGCTCTAGCATGAGAAAAAGGCCAGGTATTTGTTCTGCGCAGCGCAAGCAAATTTAATAACAAGCTTGCATTGGGTTTGCTTTTAACTTGTCTCTGGTGCCTCCATAAGTGGGATACCAGAGGACAAAAGAGCCAGGAATCATTTTGTGCATGTGTTTAGATCCTGCTTGTGGGATTGCGTGTGTGTAGAGTGAGCTGGTTGTGGTGTGGTATTGTGTAAATAGGTCGATTTAATTTGTGTTTGTGGTGTAATATGTGTGGCTGGGGGATGTAGAGAGTGTATGTATAGGAGGCATAGTGTGTATAGGGAATGTAGTGAGTGTGTGCATCTGGACTGTGGTGTGTGTGTATATAGGTGACATAGTGTGTGTAGGGGTTGTAGAGAGTGTGTACTTAGAAAATGTTGTATGTGCTTGCTTACAAGGAATGTAGTGTGTGACATCGCAAGAGGAACCCGGCGGAGCTGCTGGATAGAGCTCCCTGGGTCCTTTCCTTCATATCAGTGCATATCAGTGCCTGTGGGCTGGTGAGGGAGATCTTTGATCTCCCCACCAGCCTATGAAGGCACACAGCAGGTCCGGTGCTCGGATAGCTCCGGCTCTGCATGGGCCAACATCCCTGCATGGGATCTCCCCTGCTGGCGTCGGCCCATGGCCATCGCGGCCCACCGGGCATTTGCCCGGTATGCCCGATGGCCAGTCCAGGCCTGCTCTTTAGCAATGTTTGGATTTTGAAATTGGTGCAGACTTTAGCCGGAATAACCGTCCATGGTAATGTGATGGTTAATTAAGTGACGGCTGGCTAGCACTTGCAAGCCAGTTGTCAAATTAAAAAAAGTTTCAAGGTTAAAAGACATTTAGAAAGGCAAAATTAAAATCCATAATACCGCAACACAATTATGGAAAGTAAAAAAACACATGATTCACAAAAATCCCAACAAAAAATAAATAAATGAAAAACACAATGCAACAAAAATAAATCGATACTCGCCCCATGAGGGCTCCATGCAGAAAGAGCATTGAGGCAGGAAAAGCCTTTATAAAGGTTTTTTTTTGCTACCCTTTGAATTCTCATTAGAGCCTTCTGATTGGTCACCCACCTGATGCTCATAGACCCCTGCTCTTTTCCAGGTGTCATCCCTATGGCATGGGGCTTTTCTAGCGACTTGGCAACAACTGGCAGCAAAAGTTTTAAATGTTTAGTAGATATGCTCCACCTCTCCTATAGTTATATGGGGGTCTCTTTGACCCCATAGGTTTTTCTATTTATCCATTAACATTAGCAATTGCTGGTCAGTCACCACATGGCTAGCCCTCGCACTACTGAGGGTTATTTAACTATTTGCCAACTGGCCAAGCTAGTAGCCAGCAGACAAATAGTACTTGAAATGATCATTCACAAGCTAGTGAATGAAAATTTGAGAAAGTGCATCTCGGTGGTGACATTTAGATCCGATTTTGTGCTTTGCAAACAATCAAATGCGAAAATAATGATGTTACCGAATGTATCCTGGTGCTTATTAATCAGGTTGACTTAATTCCAACCAATTTTGGCTTTAGTAAATATGAGAATTGCCATTCTGGTTGGAATTTGGCCATTTCCACCAGATTTTGTCCATCTGGACAAAATCTAGTGTTTAGGGAATAACCATGATAGTTATCTAGAAATTAGCGTTGCTCTTTAAATAGCTTCTCTCTTGAATTTCTTTCATACATGCTGCACGGTATTTCAATTATATTCTAATTACCTGATCCAATTGTGAGTTTTTAACCAGGTCACAGAATATTACATCACTGTTGTTGTCTTTCTTGCATTGTGTCCTTCCAATTTCAACTTCCAAGAAATAAAGTAGTCCTTGAACAGTCTAGGCAAAATGTTAAAAAGAAAAAAAAAATCAAGATAACAGTATAAAATAATATATATATTTTTATAATGAACTGCAGGTGAAAACAGGATTTGTTAACAGTAATTTGTGGTGCAAAATTTTATTTGATGAATTTTGTGCACTAGACTAGAAATGGTGAAGAATTGACAAGACAACTGCAAAATGTAAGTTCAAACAGCTAAAATAGTCATCTATATCAGCAACTTTCCAAACTCAGTTATATCGACCTAGAATTTGAAATTCGTTGGTCAATGATTTGTATTTCCTTTTCAGTGAATTACCCCATATATTTCTTACCTGGGATTTAGCAGTTAGAACCTTTATAACCTTGAAGAGGTAGTCATCATTTGATTTTCTATTGAACTCCATCATGGCAAAGTCAACGGCCTTTAGAACATCAGGTCGGTCGGGACTGATATTTTCTCTACCACCAGGAATTGCTGAAGAAGACAAAGTCATGATAAGAAGAAAAAAAAGAACAGACAGAACAAAGAGACCAATGATCTTGTAGCTATTGTGCTAATTATATTATTAAAATTAAAGAAAAAAAGCGGACATTTCAATTTTTACACACTATGTATACAATAAAATTCAAAGTCACACAATCTTGACACATTAGATATCATTTAATTAGATAGGAAAAATATAAGACTTACAATGTATTTTTAATGGTTAATGAAAAAAAAAACCATAAACAACTGCTACACACAAATACTTTTTATTTTTCATAAGCCTAGAAAATCTTACCTGATACCTGCAAAAAATATGTATCTGCTATAATCACAAAAAACATAATTGTATATTATCAAAGTCTGAGTAAATGCAGACAAGTCATATTTCCTTCAGGTTTCATTATTGAGAACTTCAAACCACAACTGAAAATGTACCACATATACATTGACTTCAGGGCTGTGATAAGCGAATAATACAATTCTTAAAAGAACACTCCAGTCTCCAGGCACCATAATGACGCCTTCTTAATGCTATCGCTATGATGCCAGGAGGTTTTGAGCATTGTCATAATCCATCTGCCAAGTTTAGTGAAGCAGGTAAAGCTATGAAAGCTTGGAGATCAGAGTTGCCACCAGCAGGTAAGTTCTAGACACATCTGTTGATGGCGTGTGCGGAGTTTAAAATGTACTAATGCCCAGCTCCATGCATTTTTTTTGCACAACTAGATGGTAGTTGTGATGGAAGCCTCTGTGCCCGTGTCTTGTGGAGCGGCTTTTAGGCCATCCTCCTACCATGGACTATGGACCCGGTCCCAAGGGCCACAAAAAGAATCAAGTACGAGGCTATTGTAGGGAGGGGTTATGGCTGGATACATTGTCTACTCCAAGAATTGGGGCCTCTTAAAATCCTTGGGGTTCATTCTACTTACTGAATGCCTGATCAGGAGGCATCATGAATCGCTGTGGTAATGTTCACCGGATTGGAACTGTGTGACAGTCTAGTGAACCTTTGGTTGGATGTTGCAAAGTCCCCTGACCACCAATAACAGTGCTATTTGGAGAGGATGTTGAGGAGGTGATGAGGTATCTAGGACTTGAAATCACTCATCTTCCCAGAGATCTAGGAACCCCTTTTTGTAAAACCGGGACATAAAGCAGCTGCAAGCATGGAACTTCTCACTGGATCAGAGAATAGTTGCAGCTCGTTTGCTCCGATCAGGGTTCAATTTGGACAGGGACATATGATGTGTAGGGTGCTGTCCAGGGAAAATTAGTTCTGGGGGACTTTGTGTACTTCTTGCCTCTAAGTCTGGGATGAAGTCCCTCTTGATAGCTGGGACTAACACAATTAAGACCCCAGACAGAGTGGGCTAGGGAGGGGATTACTGTACTTGCCATTGTATTGTGTGGAGGACTCCCTAGAAGTCAAATCCACATTTTATCTGTATAAATAGATATGTGTGCTATAAAGGTTTCATTCTACCCTCTACATTTAGTCTTGACTAATGTGTAGGGGGAAAAGTCTATAAACACTGCTTCTGAACAGGAGAGAAGGCATCAAGAGGAAAATAGCTATAACCACTGTAGTTCTGGCAACTGGGTCTGAAGTACTCCAGAGCCCCCTGGTAGCACCGAGGAGGCTGACCAAATGGAGGTACTTAGA